CCCTTCCAATCCCTAACATTCTGTGATCTCTTCAGGTGCTGACTATCTTCCCTGTGTGTTTCTGAGCCCTGTAAAGATAACAGAACTTCTTGGTTTTGCACACTGAAACACAAATTCATTAGAGACTGTGTGTTGTTCCTCAGTGCAGTCGGTGATTGCCAGGGTGTGTGTGTGTGCAAAACGTAGTGCTGCCGAGTTGGTGGTGCTGCCGTGGGATTACACCCTCTGAAAACAGTTCACCTCTGCAGTGTAAACCTTCATGGGGACGGCATGGTTTTTTGAGAGTGCGTTTAGTTAACTATCTGTCATTAGCTGGATGAACTAGTTGGAGCATAGACAGGTCATTGTGAAGCCTTTTTCTGCCTGTAGGGTGGCATGTGTGGCTGATGCGGAGTCCCCCTGCGTTCGGTGTGTGGTTTCCAGACTGGCAGAGCACAGCAAACCTCTCTGCTTCAGAATATGGGACCTGTTCTGCTGTATGTCAGCTAACGTAGCAGGTGCCTGTTCTGTAAGTGACTTGAAGCTTTCTGAGCAAATCTGTTTCTGTGGTGTCGGGGAGATTGTGTGCAAAACTGCTGCCATTTTTATTAGGGACTGTGTTTATATTTTCTTAAGTATATCAGTAGCTTGCCCTATTTTTAAGGCAGAAATGGAAGCATAAGCATTAATTTTAAATAGCCACCTCTGCATATTTGCATTAGAAAAATGACCCTTGTGATGAGATTTTCCTCAGATTTTTCTGCTTTGAAATTTCAAACCAATTTCATGGGTGATTTCCAAGGTGAAAGGGAACTGATGTAAGGATTAGATTATCTAAGTTGAGATAGCCTAATAATTTTTCCGCTAGTGTATCTAAAATATTATTGTGTACCTGCCATGGACATTCTTCTGTGTGCTATGATTTAGGTGGATGGGTGTTCCTGAGCTAGAGTGAGGCATTTAAACATCTTTTTTGTTTATTAAAGAAAAAAAGTTGCTTTTTTCTTTCAAGTGAGTTGGATGCTGTGTGTTTGTATTAATAATACCTAGTAGCTATTTGAATGCTTGGGGTTTTTTTTCTGGATATTTGCCTTCATGCAACAAGACTTTAAACCCAAGTATTTTCTGTTGGAAGTTAATGCTGCATCCCGCTTGGGTACTGCTGTAGCATCCCCCTTACCCAGATACATATGTTGTTCCTGGCTGTCCCTGCCACTGGCTGAGCTGTGCGTGTCGTTGGACAGATCTGTTTGTGGCTGCAGATGCTTCTATTTGATTTCTCCTGGCTCTGGTTTTCCTAATTTGTTATTTTTCTGGGTCAGAAGTCCTTGTTCACTCTTCATATGTTCTTCCTTGGTTGTCCTCCTTGAGTTTAGATTATCAGGTTCATTTTCAGAGAGTGACAGAATTGTTGTGGTTGGAAGAGACCTTCAAGCTGATCAGGTCCAACCGTTCCTCTTCAGAGCATAGTTCACCAAGTTCTCAATTTCCCTTGGCCTTGGAGATGCGAACTTCTGAGATTGTTGGGAAGGATGCTAAGTTGTTACATTTTTGTCTTTAGCTCCAGAGGGGGAAACAAATCCAGTTTAAGCGCCTGGAGACTTTCCTTCGGGACTCGTGGCGCAGACACCGCGATGACGTCCGGCTGAGGCGCATGGAGCAGAGGCCAGGGCAGACAGCTCCACCTGAGGAGTGCAAACTCGCCTTTGTCGTGCGAATTGCAGAGTGAGAAACTTCCCTTACCCCTTACTTTCGTTGTTGCTACTGTGCGTAGCTGTCTTACCATTTCTGAGCACAGGAATGGTGAGCAACCCGGGCATGTCTCCTTGCAGGTAATCTGAGGCCTTTTATTGCTGTATTAGAGAAACATGGTTACTAATAGTTTTATTGTGTGATTTGTTTTTATTATTCAGCATTAAGGGAGTGAGTAGGAGGGTCAAAAGAGTGATTGAGTTGCTGCAACTGAGGAAAAACTTCACTGGAGTATTTGTTAAACTGACTCCTTTATCTCTGAAGATGCTGCGGATCGTGGAACCTTATGTGGCCTGGGGGTAAGTACCAGTCCCGTGACTTGACGTCACTTTGTGTGTAAATATCCTCAGTTTTTGATTTGCTATCTGCTATCACAAATCCATAGCTGGCTTCTCCACTAGTGGTCAAAACTTTGTCTCTAAAATTTGATACCGTCCCTTTTTTCATTGTTCTAAACATTAACTTGGTTACTTTCCCACCTCTGCACAAAGTAGGGTGGGGCTTCCCGCCACATCGTGTCTCTCCATTACAGCATCCAATTTTTGGTTTTGCAGACACCCTAACCTGAAGTCTGTACGAGAGCTCATCCTGAAACGAGGCCAGGCCAAGATTAAGAAAAAGAGGATGCCTCTGACAGACAACATACTGATAGAGGAACATTTAGGTGAGGAAGAGGATGAGAGAATGAAGTGAATCAAGGAAAGGGGTCAGGCTGCAAACTCTCAATATCCACCTAAGTGGGGAGAGGAGGGAGAAAAGTCTTGCAGGACCTGCATATGGAGGACTGGCAGCTCTGCAGTAGTGTGAGGAAAGATAATACAGTTGGGCATTCCATGTATGTGCTCTAGGAGGCGGGGGGGTGTGGCATTTGTTGTTTTGTTGTGGTATTTTTCATTTTATTTTTTTGTTTTTCTGCAGGAAAGTGTGGTATTATTTGCCTGGAGGACCTCATTCATGAAATCTACTCAGCTGGGAAGAATTTCAAAAAAGTCTCCAGTTTTCTGTGGCCGTTCCACCTGTCGGTGGCTCGCCACGCGTCACGTAACAGAGTGGGTTTCCTGAAGGAAATGGGTAAGCCTGGCTTTAGAGGCGACGCGATCAACCAGCTCCTTTAGAGGCGACGCGATCAACCGGCTCATACGGCAGCTGAACTAGCCAGGTGAGGAGCGTCTGTGGTGTAACCGCCAAACCCTTCATCCCCTGTCCTGAGAACTGCTGTCCTCATCATCTGAGATGAGGGGTCACCTCTGGTTCTGGGTTATTCACCCTATGGAAGGGACCCTCAGGTTAGGGGGAACTAAGGAAGAGTGTGGGCCCCATTAGGGATCAGCAAATACTATTGGAGATCTCCATAAAGGCCTGACTTCTGGGAGACTGCAGTAATGTGACTGTTGGGGTTTTTATTTTCTTTCTCGTTTCAGGATCTTTGTGAATACTTCAGGGCTCTAGATCCTCTTTCTTTTCACATGTTGTTTTCATGGACATTATGCAATGAGATATCTCCTACTGTTGGTGCCTCTATAAAAGAAGAAAAAGTCTACAGATGATGATGGACTTGGGGCTAGGCCTCCTTAAAGAAGAAGATAAATTATATTTGGTACACAAAAGAAGTGACTTGAACTTCCTGGAGCATCTGACTTTGACACCTCTGTAACCCAAGTTTTAGACCCCTTACTGCTGGCTCTGTGCCAGCCATGTCCTGATCTCACCTGGGGTATAAAACAGAAGATGGCCATTCCAAGTGTAAACTTCTGTTACAGTTGAGTTGCACTCATTGCTTTGGTCCAGTCCTCCCCAGAGGAAGTCCTTGAAGTTGCACTCCTTGGAGCGCAGCTGTCTGGGTGCAGAGGGGTATTTGCAGTCAGTCACCTGTTTAAGATCGTAGCTAACAGACAGAAGAGAACACTCAGTTTGCCTTTATTCACTACTGGGGCCTGCTCTGCAGTGGCAACGTCATGTTTTTTGAAGTACCTAGATTGTATTTATTTTTAAAAGCCATGATTTTGTGTTACTGATCTACAAGATTAAAAAGCTGCCTTTTTAATTCTGCTAAGGAGAAAATTTTCCTGGTGGGAAAGGCCCAGAAACTTTGTAATACAGTGGTAATCAATGTTGTCTAAATAAACTTTTGAAATTGTACCGTTTCATGAGGAAGAGCCACACATAACTGTGAGAGTGGGAAAACTTTAAATACTCTGGCTGAAGTGAATTTGCTGAAGGAAATGAACAAAATCATGGAAGTTCTAGTAACAGTTTTAAATCGCTCATTTCTTCCTGCATTCTTCACAGGTTTGTACTGGAAGTGTCCTGTGCTATTTAACACTAGGTCAAGGGGACTATACTGTTACTTGAAGATTTAAGTGGGGGCAAACTATTATACCCATGAATGGATTTCATATTGACTCCACCACACTTGTTTTGAGACTGAGAAAACAGTCAAAGTGAAGATTAAGTAGGATGCCTTTAGGGTATTAGTTCAATGACAGTTATAAACTGAGGTGGAACATTCATAAAGCCATATAAAATACAAAGTACTACAGACTCTGAATTAGCAAACACAGGAATTTAAAGCTTTATTCTGTAAAACAAGAATAGAAACATTGAAAATGCTTGACAGACAGTAGAGACAGACACCAACTTAGAACACTATCACCCAAGAGCTGAAGTCCAGCAGTCATTAATATACAGGGCTACATACAATTTTAATTTTCCCAATAAAAAACTGCTGATACGCCCTAAAAAGGTCTAAGTAACTTCTGACTTGTTCTGCTGATTCATTTTAGGGTTGTTTATGGTAACAGAGCAGCCCAGGCTTTTAACATGGAAGTCTGGCATGTCCAGGAATGTTTTGTAATAATAAAATACTAAATTACAGGATCTGAACACAATTCTAGCTATTAATCCTAGATTTAGGCAGTTTTTCTAGTGAATGCTGCAGTTTAACATACCATTGGTTTAGGTCATACGGGTAAGGAACAACTGAACTATTGCTACACGTCCATTATTCAGACCCCTTTAGAAAGGGTGCCAGCTCAGCCTAGCGATCCATCCCATTATCCTGGGCAAGCACCTTGCCTCTTCTTGGCATCCAACCATCAACGACCGTTCATGACTTGGCTGCACTACAACCAGGAACTATACAAGATGACAAGATCTATACAGAACCAGGGCATGCTAGGGGAAGGAATCCTTTTTGTAGGCCACCATACTGTTTACTTTGTGGATCGTAGTCGTGAAGGAGCGAAGGCGAACCTCTTCCGAATTGGCAATGAATTGTGGTCCTGACTCCTCCCACTTTTCGGGCACTGCCAGATCTTTGTCTGTGTATATCAGCAAGTCAAAGGCACCTGCAAGCAAGTGGGAACAAATTAAGGCATGCCTAAGAAGACAGCATGTTTGAAGTGCATCTTCTAGAGCTTTAGACATGTACCAACTCACATTAGTTCTGTAGAAAGAGTAGTTGGAAACAAGTCCTGGTTATGTTCATGAATAGCCATTTTGTTTTAAGAAAAACTAAGGAAAACAGATGTGAAGTTTTTTTAAGCGTGGTAAAATGCTGTGGAGCTGAGCTCTATTTAACACTTTATGTGAACTCAGTGACAATTTGTACAAGCCTGTCCACAGCTGGAGTCACAAAATAATTTATTATTTATGAAAACCTCCATTCCTCACAGCACACACAAGTTTCACCAAGTTAGCTAAGCCACCCTGAGCTCCATCCTGATCTCGGTCTAGAAGATACTCTGCTAATTTTCTGAGGCTTTTCAGTTGTTACATCATGTACCACCACATCTCTGAGACAGCATTTTGTCAAAGTGAAAAAGTTGTTGGTTTTCCAAAAGAAATAAACGTTTGATTTCTTTAGTGAAGTTAGAAATACTCACAGGCAGTTTCCAACAGGGGCAGAAAAGTTACTGTGGCAGTTATTTGTCTGATAACGGATCGAATTTCATCCTGAATAGCTTTCTGTGATTTTTCTCGTGGTGCACTGGAAAAAGAGGAAAATTTGTGTTAAGAAAGCAAGCTTCTACTACACTGACAGTTGTCTTTGAATATAGCTCTATTAAGCTATAGGATTTTTTCATAGTAGTGACACAACTTTTCTAAGCCCATCTACCTAGAGCTTAAGTAATAGTTTTCCTTTATTGATGCTTGTGGAATGGATGAGAACATTTTGGCATAAGCAGACTGCAGCAGTTCTTCAGGGCATGTACCCCATACAGGATTTTCTGTGCACCATTCAGGATTAAAATTCAAGTGTTGATCTGATGCTTTAAAAAAAAACCCAAACCAACACCTGAGGATTATGTATGCTCCAACCATAAAATGGACTTGTTTACAAACAAAAGGAAAGGCAGTAAGAAAGGTAGTAGTTCTGGCAGGGTCTGAAGAAACATTTTCCATACTCATACTAAGAAGAGGCTATCTCGGGTGCTCTGAAGAACCAGGACAGTGCTAATGCCCATGGCGTTCACCTTGTGCCTGCACGGCTCCTAGGCACAGGTGAGAGCAGGTGCAGGAACGCTGTTACCCACCTCTCCTCATTTGCAGTTTTGTCACACTCTATGTCAAACTGCCACCGCTCCAGAACCTCGTTGTTTTCGATACTGGAGATGACCACGACCAGGCGCTGCACGATGTTCTCTGAAAGAAGCCGCAGCAAGTTACTTGCAGTGCGAGAAGGTGGAGAAGCATCAGCAGAGACACGACAAAGAGGCCCCGCACCCTCCCGGCGGCCGCAGTAGCGCGGCAGGGGGCAGCGACCCCGCAGCTCCCCGCCCCGTCCCACCTTTCATCTGCTCCACCACGTTGTTGAGGTAGTTCTTCAGCTCGGGGTCGGTGGTGACGAGGAGCGTGAGCCCGTACTTCTGGACGCGGGTGAAGGTCTCGGGGGGGTAGATGCCACGCTGGTAAAGAATGCTGTTGATTCCATAGGCTGCAGCAGGCAGAAGGGAGAGCGGGGTTGCGTGCGCCGGGCCGCCA